CCTCGACTAATTCAGATCCGACCCGCGTCGTACACTTGAAAATGGTGGGTGAGTCTTTTAGCGAAGACTACTACGTACACAATGTCTCGAACTCGAGATCTTGTTTAAACTGAAATAAACCACTTATCACTTAATCCAACCCCTCGTTGGTTAAAAGTGGGTTATAATAGTCACTTTCTAGATGGAAGAATTTAATTTCATGGTGTCACCTTTCATGTTAATAAATAATTTATTTTATTGTTATTAAATTATAAATAAAACTTACAATTTTTTTATGACACTATAAATTATTTTGTTGTTGGTTAAAATTTCATCTATCACTCTCATAATGCAAGCAAATGAAATAATTTAATTTTATAATGTCATATTTTATGTTGAATCATCTTTTATTTTATATTTGTTATAATTTATATTATATTTATATATAACAAAAAAAAAAAAAAAGGTTTGGTCCCTTGTGAAATTTTGGTCAAGCTTCCTTCGATCCCTACAAGTCTGTGCTGTTTGAAGCATGTATTTTGGCCAGAAAGCTGAATGACTTGGAGGAAGGTGGAGAGAAAAAATGGAAGCTGGTGAGCAATTTGGGTGGCATTAATGTCCTGTGCAGCCTGCCATTGTAGGGCAGACACATGCTCAGCAGATGAGCAAAGGTGGAGAGCTCATCACTGTTGTTTGGTTGCTGATGGCTCACTTTCGGTTGGGAGAGCAGTTCCAGATAAATGAGGGGCATGCTAGAGCAAAACTGGTTATGGGTAAGTGATGGACTGGAGCAAACGTTGTTCTTCCCTATTATGTTGGTTTTGCCTTCTAGATTGTACACAGAGTAGATTGCTCTAACCAGAAACAATTCTCCTTTGGAAGAAATAGATTGATTATGTTTTCCACTCTCTAAATATGGGGAATTGATTTCAATTCATATAAAACAATGAACTTGATTTCCTTTTGATTCTAAGAGAAAAATATAATGTGAATTAATTAAGAAATTGAGGAAATTTAACCATCAAATTAAGTCTCAAAGGCAAAACCATTTCAGGACCAGTTGTGTGATTGGGATTGGGTGTGCCTTATCTAAATGAGAGCATAGGATGTCCCCCACTCCTTTAAAAGGTAAAAGGAAATTATTAGCACTGAGCTTGACTATAGAGGAAATGGGGGATCTTTTGTAATCCAATGAAGGTTAAGCATGTTAATTTTCTGCTATGTTTCATAGTAATTGTTTATGAGTTGCTTCAAATATGGAACGTCTGTCTGTAAAATTAGTGAATCCCATGTTTGATTCCATCTCAAGACAGCCATTGTTCCTGTCTATTTCTCCTGTGTTTTGTATTGTTTTCTTCAAATTTTGACCTCTTATTTTTATGAGAAACTATCATTATTTAAACTATTTTTTTTGCATGCATCTGGTTTTTGGTGCCTAGTTTTCATTTGAAAATGGCTATGCCACTATACGTAAGAGTTAAATACACAAAGATTTGGTTGATACAAATATGCAGTGTGATTATGGTTATTTATTATGTTATTAATATTATTTAAAAATTATTTAATTTTATTAATATATAATTTTTATAAATAATTAATTATCATATTTAAAAATATTAATTTATAAATTTATTTTAATATGTTAAATATTAATAAATATTAATTATTTTTAACAATTAAATTAAATAAAATGAAGTAAATTTAAGAAAATGATAGGAAATTAGGAATGGAAGCCACACTCCAATTGTGCAAAACATTTTTTCCGCTCTTCTTTGACTTGACCAAGTCTTGTTGATACCAAAGCTAGCATCTTTGGATTAGCAATTTAGCAGTAACCGGGGGGGAGGTACTTGCCTAATTTTTTAGTACCTCCACTTAACTCGAGCAACTTTAATATATTTTTTTCTTAGAACCAGTCTATTGGAATTAATGGTTCACCACTTAATCTAATTGTTTGGATTCAAGTAGTTGGGATTCTCAGTTATTTATTTGAAAAAATTTTCCTTTCCTCAAAT